CCCAAGCCTAGACAGGGGAAGTCGAGTGGCGGAGGTCGGATTCGAACCACGGACCTTCCGGTCAGTAAATTCGCGCTCTAACCACTTGGGCCATCTCAACGAACGACTCAGATGCCGATCCAGAACGGTTGGCAGCCAAGGATGAAACCGGGATTAGTTTAGCTAGAAGGTTGTTCAGCAGCAGGCTAACGCCAGGTAGCGAGACGGCAACCACTGTGTCGGAACCCAGTGCTCCTGACAAGATAACGTTGCAAAAGACGGGCACTCAATAACTTTTGTGTCCACACTGAACTGAAGTACCTTACTTGTGCATTCGCATTTCCTGCTGTTAGGGCTACATCTAGGATCTTTCTGGCAGATAAGAGGGCGCTGGTTATCGGTAGATATCCTTCGATCAATCATATACACGGTTAGATAACACAAAAATGGACAAGATAAACAAACAGTGTTCAGTGTTTCGACCCAGGGGAATATTCATGGAAATGGAAAGCCGGACTGCACAGACCCAGCTTCTACAGATATTCAGCTGAGTAATGGAGCAACCCGCTACAGCTGCAGTGTCATTCAAAGCTTGTAATCAATAGCACCTAGAGGAAGTATGTTGTAAGCACTGCACTTAGATCATTTGTTCAAGGTTTAGAGATGCAGCAGATAACTATCGATGAAGTACTTAGAGCATACAAAACAGCAGTTCGTTGTTCGCATTCTAAAGGTTACCTCTCGGAAGATATGAGCAGCAATGTGCGATTGGTCAATTATCTAGGTACCTCACTGACGTGCCCACTGCTGGGATCCATGGAGGAGTGATTATCAAGCGGGACGGCAGTAGAGTTAAGAGATAAGGGTAAAGAATAATGAGAGCTGCCAGAATTCGCATGTTTCCGGTTATCCGCACTGCTGTATGCAGCGATTTAGGCGACTCAGCTGATGATACCAAGCGAGGGAAGTTGACAGGCAGAGGTTGGGCTCAAACCACGGACCTTCCGGTCAGTAAGTTCGCACTCTAACCACCTGAGCCATCTCGCCCTCAAAGCAATCAAACCGGATGAGAACCATGAGGACGATTTCGAATATCCAAAACTAATGCCAGAACGAGAGATTGATCCGAATGCATTATGCGCAGGCATCACCGGTAATTGACACGTCCCGTATAAGTTATGTTCAATCTTCCTCCTAACAATATTTCCAAACCAGATTTGCGGCCCCTTAGTGTGCACCCAACAGTGACATCGACTCTCGAATCGGATGAAAAACGAAAAATGGCAACCACTACCAATTCCAATTCCATCGCGTAGTTGAAGTCACACGATATACTATCAACTAACCCCCAGAGTGACCAATGCTCATGGAAAGGTTCAAACAGATGTGGGAAGATCAGTTACTTTTTATGTGGTAATAATGAATGATGATAGTAATAAAATAACCGTTCACGGGGAACACCCTTTCACTCCCTAGCTGCCGCGTCATCCGAAGAAAGCACAAGGGTTGAGATACTGCTAGGTTGCCCAGGCCTAGACAAGAGCAGCTGAAATGCACAGGTTGAGTTCGAACCACGAATCTTCCGACCAGTAAGTTGGCGCGGTAACCACTGAGTCATCTCGACCTCTCATTTGGTAAGGGAAGCTAGAGATGGCCAAGAAATCAAGACACAAAGCCAATTACCGGGCGGTCTGTGGTTCGAAACCAACCCTAACATTCCGACTGCTTCTATGTGGAATTAGACAAGCTGGCGGTATCTTAGCTCTCATGCACAGCAGCTATGCACTGAAACCAAAAAACAGAGATTCCTGAAGCCCATTGTTTGAATAAATGCACACAGTACCCTAAATGAAACTGGCAAAAGTGTTCAAGGCGGTGGTAAAACTTACGTGAATCTGCATTCTTTTCTTAACCATGTCCATGGGATAGATGATACACTTGGCGCCCATCCCAGCCAAACCACCTGAGATGATACTTTGAATTGAGGCTGCAGATGAAGGCAGAAAAGAAGAGACGCGATAAAGCTATCAGCTCCAGCCGATGAAAACAAGATAAAACTTCGTGTAAGCACCTTGAAATTCTGCGCACATGCAGTGACCAAAACCTGCTAGACCAATCAGGATAACGTGAAGACTGAAATGTTACCGACAAAATCTTCGGCGAGATGAAAGCTGCATCCGGCTGCATGGAAACAAAATTGTGAATTTGTAGGCCTTTTAAATAATGCGCAATAGACACCGCAGGTGGGGCGTGCCAGAGAGAGCAACAAAAACGTCTTCTATAGAATATTTTTACAATTTTTAATTGACCTTTCAGAAGAGATCATCTCGGAAAATGTACTTGATCGGTGTCTAGGTGATAGTTCCACAGGTGGATAATCGCGCATTAAGCAGTGGGCCCCTGAAACATGGACAAATTGGGCCAGAAAGTTCTTCGCTGGAGGAATTAGACATAACCCTAGACTTATGTGACGAGTGAGTGGAGGTTGAACCAAATAGTCACATTGTGAATAAGCTTATTATCTCTTCTCACTTCACACTATCATTTCTCTAATAGAGTGCGTTTGAAAAACCAGTCTCCCCGAGGGCAAATAAACGTAGGATGCTACTCGGTGCCAATATCTCTCTATTTCTCACGAAAGCACAATCCAAGGAGGAACAGTAAAAATGTCCGTGTTCTCGGAACGAGTCCACTGTTTTCTATCTGCATTTCAATTGGTCATCCTCCTCTACATTACCAATGACGGTGCAGAAGAAAAACACTCCTCAACGTCTCCAGCCAAGCACGGGGAGGGTTATCTGGTTCCGTGGTTCAAACCTTAACTCTACTTCCCGACTGCTCCTGGCTAAGCATGGGCAACTTGAGCATATTTCAGCCCTTGTGTTTCCTTCGATGGTATGACAGCTAAGCACCAAAAGGATGCTAAAGCTGAACATGATATCCTTCGTTCCCTACTTCCAAGCCATATTTTGCCCACCTCAGGGTTCTCGCAACCATGAATTAGGCATGGCGAGCAACGCTCTTCTGGGTAAATGGTCACCGAATATGCTTGGCACACGGCCCAGATACCTTAGCTTGTAGTGCTGGATGTATTCCTTGAGTGAACTACCTGCTGCTACCCACTTCCTTGACCGCCTCACTGCGAATTCGCTGATTCCGGCAGAGTTGTGAGACACCAGTGGTCATAGACCTAAAGATGCCTCATATTCTCTAGTCGTAAACCATCAAGTGATGCGGAGGTTATAAGTAACCTAAGCTCGAGGAAACACGGAGAGGAATGGCTTAGTCCAGCAACGAGTGTTACAAACTTGGTAAGGGCTGTCAGATTTGCAGTTGCGCTAAGCGATCAAAAAATATGGAGAGATAGGAGCCAGTCCGGAAAAATAACTCCTGTAGTTTTAACGGTAAATCACACAATAAACCATGGTCTGACAGTAGTGACATGCAAATTACCGGCCAGATAAGGCACGACACCGAGGTGTATAATTTTACGTTGGATCGCATGAATAATGTCTAAGTGGGAAGGAGTCCTATCCCAAAGACAACAACAGTTACTCTACGACAGAATGCATTTGGGGGTTAAAACTAGCGTGACTAAAATAGATAGTCAATCGACACAGATGCTTGTGTGGTGATAACTAGAACGAATTGTTGGAAAATTTAAGACCGAAGATTGTCAACTAAGGGAAATGTAGAGTGGCAGTGGGATGATGAGGTTATGGACGCATGGGGGAATTTGGGAGGATCTAAGTTTGTTGATTTCGACAAACTCCCATCTCAAGTGGTATCAGTGCTGGATTTGATGGTGTGATCACGTGCGCACTGTTGTTACACAATCGGGAACGCGGAGCACCATAAGAGGTAAGATGGAGAACAGTTTAAGATGACAGAGTCTACGGGATCAGTGAATAAAGAGAAGAAAGACCACTGAAATGAAGGAGCAGGGTTGGAGACTCGGGCGCTGATATTCCTAGTCTTGTAGACAATTCCGTCAAATCGCAAATGCGCAAAGCAACGACAGCAGGAGCACCTGGTCCCATTTACTGGGCCCGGATTTAGTTCATACATGGAACGTTTAGCACGAAGGTCTGTGTGCCACATCAATGTATAAGGGCTACCACACCCGTTCCGCCAAAGCGACCCAACAACAATGATCAGAGGTGCATATACATATACATATCGGATGAAACTGCGAACCAGCATACCATCATTTGAGCATAAGAAAACAGGCTGGGGAGGTTTAGTTTAGTGGGATAGACCCAGATATATACTGTAAACTGTGGTGCCTCGTGCTCTAACAAGCCTTTTAGTGCGACATCGCAGCAGGAATCTAACACTGCAAAGGGGTTTTTATTACACGTGATTACTATCACCACTCTTCTGCGACTGAAGTTGTTTTTCTCACGAAATCAGATCGGTGATGACCCACTAATGCTCGTCACTGATTTTGCCTATGACCTCAGTGTACGGTCAATCATACTAAATTTCGAACGTCGTTATTTATTTCTCCCAAGTTAATTTAGCCAATAAAAAAGCAAAAGCGCGCCGGATTTANAATCTAACACTGCAAAGGGGTTTTTATTACACGTGATTACTATCACCACTCTTCTGCGACTGAAGTTGTTTTTCTCACGAAATCAGATCGGTGATGACCCACTAATGCTCGTCACTGATTTTGCCTATGACCTCAGTGTACGGTCAATCATACTAAATTTCGAACGTCGTTATTTATTTCTCCCAAGTTAATTTAGCCAATAAAAAAGCAAAAGCGCGCCGGATTTAATACGAGTTCATTTGCCGGAGGGAGGAATATAGAAAAGACGGCTTTTACATGTGCTTGAAAAAGATAAGAATGAAGGATGCATAAAAGCTTTCTTAGTGATGAATTCCCTTCATTGATATTCATGAAAAAAGTATCGGTGGCTGATGGTACTTGTGACCCTCGAAAATAAAGTTTGATACACAATTGGCGAGATAGTCCTTTCCAAATCGGTAGTGCGTTAGTAGTATACGTCATGAAAAGTACAGCACCTCTTCCATAAAACTATTAGAAAAGGCATCATCAAGCTATCTTAGTAGATGGGTACTCAGAGGTAGTGATAGGTTCTCTGGCGTATATCGTGTAAAGCTATGTGGTCGTATGACAGGCTCCTTATAGAGTAATATACCAAACAATACAACGGTCGTAAACCGAAAATAACCATTACAGTCACCATGGGATGCGTAACTTTGTGTTAAACAGAGCAAGCGTTTTCTTTGGACGTGTACGTTAGACGATAGAACTGTATCAGTTTAAATCAGAAATATACAAAATCGAGGTACAAAAGACGACAACTCACAAACTGGGAAAGAATCAGCTCCATATCGCTGAGATTTCGATGTGGAATGGCCTTGCTTCGAAGAATCTCTGAATTCCAGCCATTGTAATCGTATAACCCCAACTAGTTGGTTGCAGGCGTGGTAAATGGCAAATTGCAGACCGGTTTGTGGGGTGACCAGAAGCAGGGACGGAAGCAAACCGCGAAAATAACCTGGCAGGCCTTCATGTGTCGCGATATGCTTAGCTGCGTGATAAATGTTTCTACGGAAAAAAAGACAAAGGGAGTATGGAGAAGTAATGATTATACGCATGTTAAGTGGGGGCAGTCTACCGAAAAGAGGTGAATGAATCAAGTGGAGCCGTGTTCTTGATGAGAAGACGCAACAATAAAGGGCTCAGTAGAGTTGGTCGATTGACACCACGGGTCTTGGACATAATTAAATCCTGGACATTTAAATAAAACAGCAAGATGACAAAGGCTGTAGGATGTCGAGGTTTCGCTTTCCGCTCTTTAGCATCAATATTTAAAACCAACTTTTCACCGTAAATCAGGATAAATAACTATAAAACGGTGGAACGTAGTCAATCGTATGGTGGGCCAATAAGGTCGGTTTTAAAGTTCAAGAGAAGCTGATAGATTGTGTCGGTCCCTTATACGCATAAGCTGGATTGCTATTGATTGATCAACACAGCCTCCCCGAAAGCTAACAATTTCGGGTTGACATTGAGCAGCAAAATTCTAACCGCTGTACAGGGGTTAACACTGTGTCCAGTGAATAGAATGTGCTTGGCACTCGATCACGCAGGCTTTCGGCTCTCGTCTTACGGGTAATCGGTCGATCAATCGGTCATCTGATTAGAATAATGAGGCAAATGTTCTGGGATGTGCTCACACAACTTCCTTCTCATGCTGCCAATGTGTTTCGCCTCAACTACATGTGAACTGGGTCACAACGTGTGAGGACAGTGCGCCCCGCACATCGAAGATTCACTTGTCTCATTGATGAGAGCAGCATTCGTTGAGTGGCCGGACATGGACGACCTATTACAGCAAGTAACTTATGCCGTAAGGCTTTGATCAGGTGATCTCTCCTAAAATTCAGTCCGACAAAAAAACCCTTCTTTGTCACTGAGTGATCAGGATACCGAGTAGGCCGTGGCGTACTGTGGGAGGTATGCATCGCCCGAGTGATACCAGGAGCCGACTTTGGAATAAACCAGCTTGTCCGAACGAGGCTTAACATCCAGTCTCATAGGCCGCACTAAGCCAACTGTACTACTGGACGTGAAACGTCTCGAAGATCCGAAAATCAAGTTAGTAGATCAGCATCAACCGGCCTCCGCACTGAGAAATTTTAATCCATCCAGCCCACTTGGGGGTACCAGATGATGATGGTTGTCAGCCATATCGTGCAACTGGGCCGAGACGCCCTGACTCGCTTGACAACAACTAGCACATAAAACAACAAAGTGTCTGTCACACCTCTTGCCTAAGAGTAAGCGGGGTCAAGAAACAGCAGTTAAAGGAAGGACCTGACTCGGCACCTCCAGTAGCGGACAAAGCGAGGTGGGTAGACCAAATAATCTGCTGCTCGGCGGCAGTACAAAGGATTTTACGATTGTCCGAAAACTACCGATCGAACATCAAACATCCAGAAATATGGCGCAGGCATTTTAAAAAACTGCTGGGCCAACCGACAAGTGTCGACCAAGCTGCAACGGGCAGGGATGAAATTGTCCCTGGACCACCGATTACCAAAGACGGGACGCGAACAGACAAACGCAAAATGGCAGGGTAGCTGGAGAACACATACTTGCACGATAGCTCCCGAAAAATTCCCAAAACGCCGTCAGCCAGTCCATGTTCTCTTCACTGGCTACAAGAAGGCCTGGAACTCCATCAAACAATGCACCACTGACAATTCTTTCAGAACATGGTCGAACGCCAAATTCCATGAAGGGGTAAGAGTGAAAGTGTAGACAAATGGATAGGCTTCAAGCGATTTTGAAATCCTCACCAGCGCAAAACATGGAAGCGTCTGAGCCTCAACTTTGTCCTACTTCTATCGAGCGAACATGGTGGATGAGGCTTTTTTGAGCGACGGTGTTGGCGCGCAGTTCGTGCATCGGTCTGATGATGTCCAGTATTAGACGTCTGGTACGGAAGTCTCGTCCACCACACTCATGTCCGCATTCTCGCATTTGCGGACAACCGTACATACGTATGATGAACTGCAGTGTTGGTTTCAACATCAACTCGAAGAAACCTTCGCTCTGTAGCGATCTGCATCAGGTGGGTTGCACATTTTCTGCCGACCTGATGGCTGACCGTGAGCTGAGATCATATTATCAAGTCCAGTACAGTTTATCACGTACCAAGAATGCGTTGGTTCCAGCTGCTACAGTTTCAATCACCGGAAATGGGAGATTGTGGAACACAGCCAACCATTGGAAGCGAAGGCACGTTCATTTAGTCCAGGAAACGGGCATCGGCACAGTGAAGGAGAGAGCGATGCGCCAGTGACTGCGCGATCGGACTATGTCTGCTAGTATCATTAACCATTGGTGAGTTGAACCCCGGGGTTTCCATCAAGGGAGGCAACTACTGCCGCCCGGACTACGTCTACTGGTTAGCGTTTTCACATTTCTTACCAGGCCATATACCGTCCACTTCTCCGTCGCTTCCACTCTAAGCATGAGCATCTTTGGAATGGACATGACAAACGATGATTCGGCATGATCAATACATGGCCTAACCACCGCGGCTTCTGGTGCGAGATACGTTCTTTGATTTAAGTCCACATGACGTAACCAAACATTAGATCTCTAGTTCGCTCATTGTGAATTCGCCGGCATTAGCCTGCAATAACCATGTAAACCATACATTTTGCATATCATTGACTGGTCATTTTCATTCTATATTTTCAACTATCATCATTAGATTAAAAAGCGTACGTTACACCCTTCTATTGTCTTCCTTCTAATCTCGACTGTCGCAATAATTTGGTCGAATAAAGAAATGGATCACATTCTTCAGCCTAAGATTTTCGATGCTGATTCTCCTTCACCAGATGCCATAAGACGGACGCATTAGTTCCGTAACTTCAAAGTTTACATTGATTCAATCAAGCCTGAAGATCCAAATAAATTGGAAACTCTCATACAACATTGACCATGCGGTTTATGATTTCATTGCAGAATGTACCGGCTACGATTCTGCGATAATCTTACCGGGAATACTCTATGTTCGTCTGACTAATATCGTGTATGAACGCCACCTTTTAACTTTAGAGATGGGTGCGATGTGGCCTGCGTAATCCAGATGGACAAAGCTATCACCAGCAACGATCCGAACACGGGGGGTTGGAAGACCCTACAGAATTCGCTTTCATCAGTGGCGAATTTGAACAAGAATGGAGAGAGAGGATATCTTCGTGGGACACCACGTTTTACAGGAAAACTTTTGGAGACCTCACCATACACTCGCACACGCCCAGAAGTATGCGCATACGGGGACCAGATTAAGTTAAACGTCTGGGTTATTCCCTGTGGAGAAAGTGTGAGTAACAGCAATGACCGATTAACAGAACCGAACGTACGCTCCAAGTCGAAAAACACGAAAATTGCGGGTCATCTGTGCATATGAAGTTGAGCAACAACTGGCGGAGGTGAAGATATGGTCGACACAGCCTTTACCCGATTTTAATCCCGCTTGGTGCTTACGGGTCAAGGAGTCATGTGACGCCGGAGAATCAGTGACGACATTCCCTCACGAAGAAACCGGAGGTAACTGTGGTGTGACGGTTTGTGCACCTCCGCGATCAATTGAGCTGTACTGTGTCGTGCCCGCGCGGCACTCAGAGTCTCTCGTACCAAGCCGGTTAGTAGTTACAGGTCTAACGAACAGTCTCCTGGCCCTCCATGTTGGGGGTTGGAACGTCAGTGGCGACTTGTACTATGAAAACTCAATTGCATTTCCAGCCAAACACCCCTATCTTGTGGTTAGGCTTTTGAGCCAAAGGCTTTGGTTGAGGACCCCAATCATCATCCTGTCTAGGTGTGGGCGCCCTGGAAGTATCCCATCCCACGTACAACCACGCCACATATATCTAAAACTAATCTCATGCCACATCGGTCGTTGAGCTAACCGACCTACCACTCTCCACTCGCTTCCAGCTGCATACCTCTAGCGATCCGGAGGCTGCTGCAACAGGATATACAGGGCTTGGCGTCGTCTCAAGTCACCAGACGAAAGGATCCTTGCTTGACCGGTTACCCGTCTGTGAAGGAGTCTCATAAGCGGGAAGTTGATCTATGTATGCTTGTCGTGTCAGCTTACGTCCCAACCGACTAAAACCCTGACATCATCCAAGACGCCTTGACTGCCATGTTGCGATGAGCCAAAAGTTCAAATACCGTTGTGGTTGACGGAGATCTGAATGCACAAGTGGGCAGGCTTGGAACGTCTGAGACTCAATTAAGTGGTCGACATAGATTGGACTCGGTACGGACGGACGAAGGCAAACGACTGCTTAAGCTAAGTGCTGATCGTAGACTGCCTTTGTGCATCAATAAATAATGGAATAGCCGAAGTGGTCTGGCCATATGGTGTCCTCCAACGGCGTGCCGGCTACGAACTCAAATCGGTCATATTGTCATCAGTTACCGACGGCACCGGTCAATAACCGACTGCCGCTCGTTTTGGAATACATTTGTGGATTCCGAACATGCGCTCGTCTAGAGTCGCTTTACCATGTTTTCCAGGACCGCGTAAGGTGCGGAGAAATCGCTTAGCAACTGAGGGACTGGCAGATCCGGATGTTAGATGAATTTACTATAATCGTTCAGTGAAGTCTCTTCCAAATGCACTAACATCAGATACAGAATCATAAGGCCCAAGTGGTTAGAGCGCGAATTTACTGACCGGAAGGTCCGTGATTCGAACCCGACATCTGGCACTTAACTCCCCCTGTCTAGGCTTGGGCAACCTGGCAGTATCCGAGCCCTCGTGCTTCCTCCGGGTGGCATGGCAGCTAGGCACCGGAAGTGTTACAGCTGAACGATTTTACGGGGGCACACAAACCGTCACACCATGATAAACTCATTTCTTTGTGACGGCCCCAACGGCGCTTGGTCAGCCTGCCCGAGCTTTCATCTCACTAGCAAGCACCACTAAATGTGAGCTTTCAGCTCGTTGTGATGGATCGACAAACGCGTCTTAGGAACTTTCCATGGCAAATTCAGAGCTACAGTCAGTCGGGGTGGAAGCAGGGAATAATCGGGAAGCGATAAACCTCCGAATTCACCCGCATTTTTGCCGAACGGACCGCGCAGAAGCAACTATCCATGGGCATCCGATCAAGCAGGGGGCTTCCACTTTTCAGCTCGATCGCTCACCCCAATACTCATGCAGCAAATTCAGCACCACCATAGGTGCGCAGTCGGAAGACGGAAGACAGCGAGGGGAGTCAGTTTAATTGTAGTACTTAGGTCCCGAAACCTTGTTTCTGATCAACAGCATAAACCAATAGAGAGGGAACCCAACCCAGCTAGAACCGCTCGGCATCCTGCCGAGGACATGAAGGCAAGAAACTTAGGAAATGAGCGCAAAGTATCCCGTCTGCTACGCGTCCTAAAGAGGCCTCTGATGAATGAAACGTTCGCTGATAAAAAAGGGACGATCTTATCTCCAATTAGGGAAGTGTAAGGATTGTTGGGTTGAACAAGCTCACATATTTAACTAGCTACCTGCAGTTGCTCAGTAGATTTCTGGCCAGCAACGCAGCCCCGGACAATGAACACGTAACACCTAATGGATTCGAAAATAAACGAATGCCATTTTTCCATCAAACCTCTGTTATGTACGATCAACGGCCATACGCGACCTGAGGACGAGCGCACAATCCCCAGCTATGACGCTCGCTCCACCACTTCAACAACCTCACCGAGCTGTTGGTGCTGATAAGGTACCATCCGCTCTGTTCAAAGACGGAGTTGGAATGCTCAGTCGGTGCTTGTCCGATTCATTTGTCTCTATCAAAAAAACAGTCCAGATTAACTGGGGTGAGACGATAGCGGTACCAAATTCCAAAACGGGTGCTCGCAGTGTGTGGCAATCACGAAGGAATCGGACTAACCCCCGTCGTAACCGGAGGTTTTGTACCATTCTACGTCGAATTACGAAGGCGCATGAAGACGGGACCCGAGAACAGCAAGCAGGATTTTGGACAAAAAGGGAGGGAGGTGAACCACATCTTTACACCTCTACAATTTTCAAAGCAGTGACATGCGCATGAGCACCCTACGAACTTGGTGTTCATTGACTTCAAGGGTGCGTTCGACCCTGTCAACAGACTAGTTCTTTTCAAAAGGATTGAGCGACCACATATGCCCCAGAAGTTCGTGAATATTAAGGTTTTTTGTATCCACATAATTGTTGGCGCATGAGCGTATATCGAGTTCTCCAAAAGCTTCCCTACAAACAGTGGTACCCGACAAAGAAACACACTCCATATTCAAAATCTGACTGAGCGCTGGAAGTGCAGGCACGATGAATGTTTCCGGTAGTCTAGCCAGTCCACTACTCCGTCCGTTTGTTTCTATTTCCCATTATACAGCAGTATGGGGATGTAGATGACAGACTAGGTCAATGACGGCCGAAATAAACAGCCGATCAAGAGTCAAGGATGCGCAGATATGATCTTTTTCTTTAACGCAAGTCCCGGGTTTTGAATGTCAGTATGATGACGAAGAACAGGTGAGTACTGGCAGAAGAGGCCGCGTGCATTCACCTCGAGTACCCATTTTAGAGACCGGCGCTGTGATGAATGCACTCACCGTTTTGGAACGTCTTCTGCGCAGAATCGGACCGAAGAGTCCGACAGTCGTGTCAGCGGGATTGATAGGTCGGTGGGGTTTAAGTGAGGATACGCATTCAGGCAGAAAGCGCCGTCGAGTTAACCGCCTGAGTTGCGATTTTGCTCCGGCAATTGGACTGGAAATCAGGGGGGAACTAAATGATTGAACGCAATTAACGCGCTTTGCAGAAAATTAATTAATTATTACCAGTTGGCTGAAACAACTCACCTATATAGTTTTGGTTCTCCCTGAGCGATGAAACGGGTTCTCAATACGTCAAGAGGTTGGGTCGCAATAGCTGCGAAAGACCCAGCGAGACTACCACAGATGAAAGTCCCAATTGTATTCGGAGACCTCAAGGCTATGCGCTTGTCATGCGTTGAATTTGATACGGTTTTCCGTCCGAAATGGGCAACAAGAACCTCAAAAGTGGAGAATTGCAGGGCTGTGAAAGTAACTGCCTGCAACTGCGCAGGGATATGGCCTTTCCAAAATGCAACCACCCCCTCTTCCTTGTTGATGCAACGGATCGCCTGAACGAATCCATGATATTTGCTTGTATTCGACACACGTATGGGCTCTGATTGTAACTGGACTAATAAGATGAAAAGCGGCATGTACTTGGAACCGAATTTTCAGAACATCCAGGGGCTGAACAATGGCTCTGGAAACGAACCCACTGACTGATCCGGCTATAACATAATCATTCCTGGCCAAACCCGGGCGATCTTCAATATTCGGACCCACCGTCATCTCAGAGTCCCGAGATTGCCATCACCGAAGCCCACGTGGCGAGAAGCCACAAGTAGTGAGGCCTGTCCCGTATGCAGTGGTGGGCCAAACGGGAACCTCGTATGTGATTGGCCAGTTAGTTGCTAATACGTTAGAGGGGTTTATCAGATGTGTTCACGAGTCGGAAATCAGGGGCAGTATGTTAGGTTCGGTCACTCAGTCAGTCAGTCACGTGCCCCATGAGCCGCACAATGCCTCTGGCTTCAAAATCTTTCGGAAGGAATAAAACGTTTTGCGCCGAAATGCTACACAAACGGAGTTCAGTATTCGCACAATGGAGTTGAATATTCGAAAGCTAAGACGAGTCCCTGATAGACTAAAACAGGTAGGCAACTGAGTTCAGAGTACCAGTTTGATTTTTTGAGCTTTACCTAGGTATCCTAAGGTTTCCGGGATACTAGGAAAGTAGTCCACCGAACTTTTTCCGCAAGAGGCATTATTGCTTCATTGGACAATGAAATTTAATGAGCTGGAATTTACGAACATAGATTGGTATGGTTTTTTATTTGAGAAAGGCAAAAAACCACTGGCAGTTACCTCTTATTTTCTTGAACACAACCAAATTGTCAAAGTTTTTGTACAATCGACTTCCGGTTGGTCGGTGGCTAACCGAAGACGAGTTGGGCACCTGCAGGGCCCTTCTGAAATATGAAACGGCATCACGTAAGGTGTGGCAGTTTGTGGCGGATGAACTCTGTAATATTCTCGCCACTCAGGATATATACAACTACCGCCGGAAGGGCCGACCGGCTATGTTGAGTAGGTGCTGCATATTTGGGTTTTAGTGCGGCAGATGATATACCTTTGGTCCTGGCAAAACTTAAGGAGACCGGACGCGTGCTTGTGTGTCAGTCAGAGGAAGGTCACTGTACCAGTATACGCTTCTCCCCATGGCAGCAGATAGCGTTGTTCCAATGCTTTCCAGATGTAGTGAATTTAGACAGGACGCACACAACAAACCCTCTTGGGTAATTTTTTTAAAGCACTTGGTATTCGGCATGTAGATATAAGTTGTACACCGTGATATCGAACGGCAAGGGAACCTGGCGTCCGGTTATGTATGCGCTCGTAGAGGGCGAACATTTTGCTCTGTATTTCAGAATCAGTCCATTCTTAGCAGTAAAAGCTATTCTTCATTGACTTTTACATAGCTTGCTTCCCAATCCACCAACGATGGCTGTCGGACTGCAACCTACCGGAAAAAGGCGTACCCCTTACACTTGTTCCCAGACCACCACCGACAGGTTTTGACGCTGAAGATGGCGTTGCGTGAACAGGCATCTACGACAACATAGTTGTTGAAGTGCATTTTGTGTAGGTAATCCTACCAGCTTGTCGGCCGCTAGCCTTGTGGTGGTATTTCGCCAACCTAAATTATATCTTCCTCTCACTTCAGGATTTCAACGGCCAAAGGTACAATCCGTGTGCCTCCTGAAGGAGCTATGTACACTTCAGAACGACCAATATATCTCAACATTTCATGACATCCATTTTCAACCTTTTCTCCGGTACAGGTGGATGAGTGCGCTCCGGCATCGTGTTCGGTTAGGTGGCTGCTATGATCGAAGTAGGTTCCACGCTGCTAGTCGATAAACGTCGGGGTCTTCCTAGCATAATTCGCAATCTTTGATGGTAAAACCCCCTTTTGTCAGCAAACGTGCACAACTTCTTGCAAATAATGAACGTGGACAACGGAATTTCAACCGGCAACAGGAATTATTCACCAAAAGTTTTTTGCACGATTGCACCTACGCATATTTTGCATCTTTAATGGTCGTGAAGATTCTGGGATGTCCATGGAGTTTTTTTGGCTGGAAAGCTATCTTAAAGTTTCATCCATTGTAAATTAGTCAACGTTTTCCACGATTCGCGATTTTTTATTAAATTAGACAACGTATACACAGTCGGTAGTGCTTATTGCCCTTGAAGATTCGCTCACTTAAACAAATCGTCATTGTAGATTATTTTCAATAATACAGGAACATATACATTATACATAGACATCCTACACTATGAAGTGACAAGACTGAAAATGCCGTAGTTTTCGAGAAATCAATTCCATTGTGCGAATACGGAGTGGCAGCGAGGAGTGTTGGAAGTGGATGTTCCGACTTTGTTGGTGGATTTCAGGTCCTGGTAGACGTATCATGAGTAGCGACAGTTTTGATTCTACAACCAGAGATCAATGGCCTCATAGAATTTGCTCAGGCCAGAGTGCATAGAATAATGAGAATAAGGGTGAAACTTTGCCTCACTCGTGAGTGAGGAACACTTAACGTGAGAGCTCGTGGCTGGCCAGAACGTGATGCAGTGTGATCTGGAGTCACGTTGCTCACAGGACGTCATACGTGCTGGGGTAGCTTGCGTGCTCCCATCTCAAACTTCCAACAACGAATTGTGTTGAAGGAATTGAATTAGTACATTATGGGTAGCATGACCAGAAAAAAATAAACTGATATCGGAGGAACATAGCTCATCAGAACTTCGGTGAATGGAAAGCAGTATTGGTAAGAAGCGCTTCGGCGGTCGTGCGTCAGGAGTGGGTATGGGACGATAAATTTACGACCGGCAGTCCAGCCAACACGAGTTAAACGGAAGATGGCATTGGAGGAATGTGTGGGTCAGTACGTGAGGACTGAAGGTAGATTGAGAGTGTATCAGTCTCTGGGGAGTTGGGATTTAGATCCTCGGCAGCCTTATTTACCGTGAGAAAATTGGCTGATAAAAATTTCGAGAGGAAGGATGTTGGTCCCTTGTATAAAGAAAAGGCTATGCGTTAAATTTTGGAGCTTTAATTCATGATTCGTTGGTTCGTGTCGAAGTGAAAGATTCCGCGAAGCTGAAGGAGGGAAGGTGGAAATTTAAGGCTTGAGTCCGGGACGGTTTAGTTGGAGCGATAGATTATGCCAGCCTTGTGCGCTGCGTCTTCCTATTTCAGCCCATCAGACCACGAGTTTCAGATCTATATACACACATATTTTTATATCGCAATCCAACCTGAAGTCGTACCAGGCTTCGATGGCGGCAGTTTCTCTGGCATTCAGGCAAAGACGAAGTGCACAGCAAATACTGTGCCCTTCCCGAAATACCCGGCTACTTAACTTCACAATGAAAGACAATTAAGAAAATGGAAAAAGAAATCAACCATGGTTCATTCAAGCTCTTTTGAGTTAAAAGAGCGCCTCTAATAATAGGGTCTTGAATCTATTTTCTACATAGGCCTGGTAGATTACAGTTTTGTTGGAGGAAATTTTGTGACATTTGTGCAAAGCTGACTCGCTTCCCCTAGCTCAAAAATTATCCTCCATAGATCCTGTGAATTAAGTACCATCGGCGAAGGGCGGTTCATTTGTGCTACTTTAGAGGTGGCGAGTATACGAATACACCCTGATGCAACGTAACAGTGTCCCTCCCTGAAGAACATACTCGACCACCACAGGGGTTTTTTATCTCTTGTGCATGCTACCAAATCTGCGAGGTGTGAAATCGTCAAGCAGCCATAATTGCGGCTTGTGCAGTAACAAGGTACTATAGCAATCAAATATTTTTTCCGGATAGGGGGGAACCGGGTCAGTGAAACAGCTTGGTCAGTTCAGATGCCAAAAGCAAACATTCGCTGCCAACGGTAGGTCGCGGAGGATGCAAATAAAATGGCAGCTGCCAATGAGACAACAGGAATGGAATGGGGATATTCACGGCAAGTGTATTGCGGATAAAACGTCGACGTAGCTTTGGTTTGAGGTAATAATAGTAATATTAGGTTTCTTTCCCATCTTGCAGGGAACATGCTCATCGGGGCGTAGTCAATAATAGTATATTAGGTTTCTTTCCCATCCTGCAGGGAACATGCTCATCGGGGCGTAGTCTTGTCACCACAAATTAAACGCAAGGAGGAACAACGCAACTGGGAGGAATGTACAGTCAACGAGATGCGTTTATTAGTTGAAAAGTCAACGTAGCTCTGGGAATTAAAAAACTATAGGAATGGGGCTTGAGTTACGACTAGTTCAATGATGAAGCGGTTAACTTGAACTCAAACTGAAAAATTGTTGCTGGCCAGGAGTGACCTTGGGCGGCTGGGTAAACGGCCAGCGTCACAAATAGAAAAATGGAGATGGGGATGGAAGAATTCGAGGTGGAAACAAATGGCCAATTTTGTCTCAAAAATGAAGCCTACATTGAAACTGAGTAGAGCCACTGGTATAAATGTTTTAGGGAAGGTAATTTTCGATGAGAATGTGATGCTTACGCATAAGGCTGAATGTGCATCGTAAATGGAAACGATGAAGTTGTGAGGGGGGCAAGCTAAAATTGCAGCGCAAAAACGGGTTGGTCAAATCCTAAAAGAAGTTTTAGCAGGCAAAAATGAACTTGTCCCGGGGACGGATCGCGCTGGGAAAATTTTGTTTGCATTTACAATTACAGGGTGGAATGAGCAAGAGTTTGAAGTTTGTAGTAGGAAGAAAGTAGCTGAGAGAAATACATTATCCTGGGCACGGCAGTGCCGTACCAACATTGCACTGACATTTACTGGTTTCCGGACGGCTCCGAAACAGATGTCAAAGTCGCGATAATCGGACAGGAGATACGCATTCCTGTAGTTGCTTGACCTGGCTTATACGGGGAGTTGAACACTGTTTGAGTCAGGCCGATGTAGAGTCGCGGGTAATTTTGGTTCACTTGGAGGACTACGTGGGTGTGAATTGGATGCCAGCCAGATTGAATGGATGACGGACATACGGTTCGCTTGCATCAGCTAGTGCCAAAAGTTCGAAGCTTGGGAAGAGAGGAAAAGAGCAGTAGCGTCTTGTGAGTGCCAGGAGATATTAGATGAAACGGTATTTATAGAAAAAATAATATAAAAGAGATGACAACAAATCTAATAAGCCGGTGAAAAGATGGATTTTTGTTGGCCGACCTAGCAGCTGAGGAGTAGCTGAAGACACGATAAATCGTTATTAGCGCGTGTCTGGCCTGCATGCAGTACGTTTACCGATGCAAGAGTCTACCATTGGTGACAAGAGTTGGATTTCAAGTTTGCACTTCGCGTCAGTTGATCAAAAAATTTGAATCTCAAGGTCAGGTGTTGTAAAAACCTTTTGGGACCCTAGTCCGATCGTAGCGTGTTACTTACCTTAGTAGAGCATTTAGCTACC